GAAATTCTGACCTAAGATACCTAGGTCCCAGTTGTGGCTTGTGGTCAGTTATTACTGGGCGAGTTACTCTCAAGCTTTGGTTTTCTGTTCTCTAAAATGGGACACCCAACTTCATACGGCTGTTGAATACATCATAGCTTTCTTCCTTTGCCCCCTTTTTTTTTCCTGGGAGAAACTCAGAATGTTCAAAACAACTAAGTGCAATAATTCTTAGAGCTATTTGGAAATTGTCTCTAATGATAGAAGAAGTGACCAGAAATGTCATATTCTACTACCATATTCATTAAAACTAACCCTCATAAAGTAAAAAAAGAGCCACATGATTACACTTCTGATAAAACCTGCTTACATGTTGATAAAACCTGTGCAAGGACCTGGAAAATCACAGATAAGATGTTCCCTGGTCCTTGTGATTGAACAGCTGCACCCTGGTACTGCTGTTGATGTGTCTTTGCATGGTGTGGCTAGAGGTTTTGGCAAATGTGTCACTGGCTATGTCGAGCCAGATTACAGTGGGCCAGAATAAGGCCAAATGCTATTTGACATGTGAAGAAAAAGAACTACATATGTTATTATCAAGTGCCTCCGTCACTATACGTGTTAGAAGGACAAGATTAACGCCAGACTCCTTTCCTGCCTATATAAAATGTAGAAAATAAGGGATTACTACTAAAACTCCACTGCTTCTAAAAAGGGAATCTAGTCATATTTCAAAGATGAAGACTTAAAAATATAAATAATTAAAACTTGCAATAAACAATGCCACACAGAGACTTTGTGTTTTCAGAAAACAGAAGAATATTGGAGTAAAGAGAAAACAAGATCAGCCTCTTCTCAGTGACAGTTTGCTGCAAGCTTTGGAAAAATGTGAAGAAATGATAAATGGGCAGATTAAGGGTAGGAAGTGAGAACAGAACTGTGTTTGAGTGTAAGGCCTGGTATTTGGCATCAGGTGAATTGCAGTAAGGAGGAGGGCAGGAGAAGTCAGCAGTGAGTCAGAGAACAATTAAATCACAAGTGAGGACAGAGAATGTGAGAAGCTAAGTGATCAGAGTAGGGCTAAGTTACTGAACACAGTCTTATGGAAGAGAATGGAGAAAAAATTAGACACCTAGACCACTATTCGAGGGGCAGGGGAAAAAAACTGGAAGGAAAGCAGAAAGCTGATGGGCAAGATAAACTCATCATAAACATAGGATTGAGCTAAACTCAGCTAAAATATTACCTCTAATCCAGTGTCTTTCATTAGGTAGAAGTTCAGTTTCTTTCAATTTCATTCATAAGAGCAATATAGAGTTAAATTAATATAAATGCTCATGAAGTTATGGGTGGATTTGTTGATTAGAATATTACAAATGTAGGAAGTTTCAACAAAATATACTTAGAAAGTATAATATGGGAATGAAATTTTAAGCCAATCATAAGATAATAAAGACTCGGGGCTATTATTACCTTCACTATTTTGCTAAGAATAAAAGATCATTCTCCCTTAGACCTGAAGTCCAAATTATCCTCTCCACCCAAACTGTAACCACAGAGTGAGCCCCGATGTCTGGCCTCCAAATCATTGGTACATTTGCTTTCCACCCCCATGTATCATCTGAATAGTCCAAGCCCTTCCAGTACTTCCCAGTCTCCTACTGCCTACAAGTGTACATAGGGCTTCCAGATCTTAGGGAAAAAGTGACCTTGATCTCTGCTGCTCCTTTGGTCAAGTTTCTGTCCTCTCATTTCCAAGCTTCTTCAAACTAGGTTGTTTCTTTCTTAGCCCATGTCTTGTTGACTCTCTTGTCCTCCTGGCCACCACTATCCACCATTCCAGGGGTCTTCTGTATGTAGCATTCCCATGAAACAGCTCTCCAGAAAGACAGTTGTGTGTGGTATCATGAGATACCTAGGGGCATATTGTTTTACTTTTCTGCAGCAGTTGGTACCAGGGGAAATGTTACTCTTTTAATGCTTGACCTTCTTGCTTCTATTTTGCAAGCCTAATTCTTCCTCTAACTCTGCTAACCAGCCCATCTCCGTCCAACACACTGCCTTTTCTTTCTTCTACTCAGGGATATTCAATTATTTGCCCCAGCCCAGATGCTATTTCTTCGTATCCTCTCCCTCTAATCCTTTCAACCTTTATACATATCTTTCCAAACTTCCCATCTCCAGACTGGACATTTTTCTACTATGCCCATCCTGTGTGTCCAACTCTCTGCTGGTCACACCAACTTGGACAACCCAGCACCATTTCAAACCAAACTCTGCCTCTTTTCCCTTCAAACTAACCAGCCTCTCCTCCTGATGTTACCACCTGGTAATGGGGACTCCTCATCCTGGCCCTTTTCATCTCAGTCATCTTCTTACCTTCTTTATTCAAACATTTACATTTCATTTCCTCCCTTTAAAGTTTGTCCTCATGATTTTCCTGCAAGTGAAATTGATGGTCAGTCTACTAAAGTCTCATTTGATCCATATAAGCAGAAGACTTAGGTCAAGTGAACAAAAGTCTAACTTGAACCATCAAAAACAGAGAGTTCCGGCATCTCCATCAGTTCCTAAATGTAAGGCAGTTTACAAACCTGGAACCTCTTGAATGAATGGAGGCTAGGTCTCCTTGAGAAAAGATTTCACTACATGAACCAAGATATATACTGTCATTCTTTCTCCCAGTTTTCAGCAGAGAGATCTAAAGCTTTTTACCAGTATGATCATGTACTTGAAAAAGAACATAATCAGACTTTTTGGGAGTCCTAGACACTAGCCCTGAACCCACACTAATTCTGGGAGACTCAAGATAACATTGTAGCCTAGTCACAACAGTGGTAGATGGGAGCCAGTTGATCACCAGGATTTTTGTTCCATTTTTATGTCCATTCTCACAGTTTCTGTACAGCCCAACACAGCTGCAGTGGCCTCCTGTACATCATTCTGTCCAAAGCATCTCCAAAATATTGCCATTCTCTGGCTCAAAATCTCCACTGTCCCCATTTACCAGGAAAAAGCCACCTTTCCTTGTCCTGATGGTTAAGGCTCTCCTCAGAGTAGCATTCCCTTCTTTCCAGTCCTCTTGGCTGTAAATCCTCAACCCAGTACTCTGTCTCCCGCATCTCCCCGGCGATACCATCCCTCATACATGACTCACTTGCCCTCTTCTCATTTCTGCCTTTATTGCCAGTGTTTCCTGTGCCTGTATTTCTTTTTGACTCCCTCCTAAATTTGTGTGGTGACTGTTTTGAGCACAAATATGCCATGTTCTCTCATAAAATCTTTCTTTCTTTACTTTTGCTTATAACAGCCAGGGAAATGAGCAAACGTGTGGATGGATTAATTCACCAGTGCTGAAGAAGGGAGGGTCTTTCCTGGATGGGTCGTTAACAATCTTCATAAACAAAAGATTGCCTTGTTTATACCTGTTGGTCAGATTAGGCATTTCTTAAATCTGCTTAAGGTGAAATGAGTGCTTTGTGTTTCAGAAAATCATACGGGAAGCATAGAAATATGAAATGTTCACTTTGTTTAATGTGCAAGTGTATTCCACAACAGGTGGTCTTTCCACTTCCACAAATAAAACAAAAGTGGTTGGCTCAAACCTATCAGAGAGGAAGAAGGAATAATGTCCAGGTGGTGGGACCAGGAGCAGATGGGGAATATTTACTTAGTGCTTTATTTCTTCTTGTTAAATGTCTGTCCCTGTAATCAAGCACCTTCCTTTAGATCTTAAATAAACTTCCAGTGTCTTCCAGTGACTTTTTAAAAAACAGGAGTATTTCCCTGCCAGTTTCTCCTTTTTCTAATGTCAAGGGCAGAATAACCACACAGTATCTGTGGAGTCTGTGCTAGCTCTAATAGTCCAAGTTTTCTTTCAGACGTTTTGAAGTTTCCAAATTTCATAGTCAAAATAAAAATAGCACATAAATTAGATTGAAAATATTATAAGTCCCAGGGATTTTTTTCTCACATCAAAGACTATGTCATCCCTGTCAGTCTGTACAGAAAGAACAGTCAAGGCAGTCCTTCCAGGTACAAAATTACTTGGGAGGCTGAGGCAGGAGGATTATAGGTTCAAGGCTAACCTGAACAACTTAGCAAAACCCTGTCTCAAAATATAATATAGAAAAGTGCTGTGGATGTAGCTCAGTGGTAGAACACGAGCCTCACATGCACAAAGCCTTGGCCTCAGCCCCTAGTACTGAAAAAAGAAAAGAAAAGAAAAGAAAAAGAAAGCAAAATCCTTTGAGTTGAACTGGTTTATATTCCCCAGCCCTCTGCATCAGGAAGCCCAGAAAGCTCTGTGCTACCTTTGGTCTTTGGGCAGTGTTGTACTCTCTAAACAGCATCTGCCCTTTATCATCTTTGAATTCTTCTGTGATTTGTGCATCATCTGTCACTGGTTTTCTTCCCATTGCTCTGCTGCATTTTCATTTCCTTCAACACACTTTTATGAAGCTTATGGAGAGAGAACTAAGAGCCCTCTCCTGAGACAACTGTGAACACACACCCTCAGCTCCACTGTTATTGTGAATACCCTTGAAAACTGAAGACTTTCCTGTCTCCCTAACTATCGCCCATGGCTGGTACCTTGTGTTGGGTTAATCCAGACATTACCAAGGCTGCATGATGCCTTGACTGCTCCAGGGTGCACAAGGATTGAGACAGTTCTGTGTGCTGACTGAACACATCCTCTAGTAAGAGACACAGACACGGCCATGCAGGTGACCCATACTTTCTCCCCAAAGAGTTTAAACTTTCACGGGGTCAGATGTAGAGACAAAGAACTCATAATAGGTGAGTAGGATGGGAACAACTTCAAAGAAAGTGAAGATTTCCAGTGAGAGTTGTCAAACCCATGAAATGGGTTACGGAGAAAGCTTGTGGTCTTCCTTTCCTCGAAATGCTAGCTGTAACAGACAGACTACCCACAGTGGCTCAGAGTTGCCTGTAAGGAGGCTTGAGGATGGTCTGGAGCCTCCTGGCTCTGTTCCACTTGTTCACTTACCTGGACCATCTAATTTGCCTTTCAGGGTGGCTTTGTATTCCAGTCTTCAAAAGTAAAATTGGTCCTGTTGAAAAATGACAAAAGATATTTCTTTTAGTTTTCTAAACTCTTATGTTGCCAAATGTTCTTGTTAATAGAGGAGCATGTTTTATGTTTTATCTTTTCAAGTGTAACTTTTGTAAATTTACCCCTCCCTGGTAGTTGAGGGTAAATTTTGATACGAGAAATCTCAAATCATAACAAATGTTAACCTTTTTCCTAAAAGATGGTGTGTAAGAAGTTAGGTTGTTAAAGACTTTACAGGACTTATCAGCATTGAGTGAACAGTTATAGTGATGTCAGAATGTTTTTATTTATTTATTTTAGCAAACATACACTGGGCATTTGCACTGCCCTGAACTAAACTTGCCAGTTGCTGAGAAGACAGAGATGCATGAGATATGATCTCTGCTTTTTTTTATTACTACATGCTTGCCATACATAATGTTTACATTCCTTGTGTGGGATTGGTATAGGTGTGCCACACATCTTAACTCCTTTTCTCATCCCCTTTCCCTCTTCATCCGTCCTCCGTCCTTCTATCTCTTGTTCCCCTTTCCATTTGAGAAAGATCATTTCTCTACTTCCTACTATTTATCTTTTATTTTGCTTTTTATCTATGCTTTGAGTTTCTCGTATAAGAGAAAACATGTAATATTTAAGCTTGTGTGTCTGATTTATTTCACTTAACATTATAGTCTCGAGGTGCATCTGTTTTCCTAGAAATGACTTAAATGTATCCTTTTTGTGGCAGAGTAGTACTTCTTGGTTTGTACACACCGTATGTTTTTTATTCATTCATCCATTGCTGGACATAGAGACCACTTCTAAGATTTAGCTATTATGAGGTACATGAGTGTTCATGTACCACTGCAATATGATGTCTTTAACTCCTTTGGAAAGATACCTAGAAAGGGAATAGCTGGGCCAAATGGAATTTCTAGTTTCAGTTTTTTGAGCAACCGCCATACTGAATTCCATAGTGATGGTACTAATTTACATTCCCACTGATGATATAGAAGAGTTCCCTTTTCCCCACATCCTCAACAGCATTTGTGATTATTTGATTTCTTGATGATGGCCATTCTTTCCAGGATGAGGTGAGAATCTCTGAGTTGTTTTAATTTGCATTTCTCTAATGGCCAGTGATGCTGAGCATTTCTTCATGTATTTATTGGCCATTTGTTCTTCATCTTCTATAAAATATTCATTTCATTTGTCCATTTTTTTATTGGGTTATAAAGAAAAGATTATTCTGGATTAAAAGAAAGCCATTTGTGGTGAAGGATGGCTTCATGATAATATTATAATAATTTTGAAATTCAACTTTTTGAAGCTTTGGCTTGAAAACTGTTGTATTGACCATGTTTTTTACTTTTAAAATATTATTTCTAGCTGTGCATGGTGGTGTATGCTTGTAATCCCAGCACTCAGGAGGCTGAGGCAGGAGGATCGCTGTGAGTTCGAGACCAGCTTGGGCTACTTAGTGAGTTCCAGGTCAGTCTCAACTACGTAGTGAGACCCTGTCTCAAAAAAAAAAAATACTATTTCTAAATATATGATCTATTTTCATGGTTTATATAATGAAAATAATTTAGAACAATATTTAGAAATGAGGACCTCACTCCCACCCCATCCCCATCTGGCTAATTCAGCCAAATCTGCCTAACTCACTACTACTTTCTCCTTTGATACAAGTAACTGTGCTATTAATTTATTGAGTGTATGTCCAGTATCTTTCCATGCAAAATAAAAAAATATATTTTAAAGATTTCCATTTGTTACACAAAAAGCAGCATACCGTTTTCTAGTTTTTCACATGCCTTGTCAATTCTGCAATATATCTTGAGATTTAGCCATGCCAGGACACAGCATGCATCTTTTTCCTTTCATCGTATTCTATTTCCTTGTTTTGGAACTATCATGAGGCATCAGTTATCTATTGCAGCCTAGCAAAGTACTCTATAACATAGTGGCTTAAACCAACCAGAATTTTGTATAGTTCACAGTTCTATGGGTCAGTTATTTGGACTGGGGTCATCTGAAGTGGTTTTTCTGGATTTGCTGGTGCAGTCAGTAGGGCTAGATGGTTTCATGCAGCCTCACAGTCAGCTTGGTGGTAGGCTTTGACCTCTAACTGCAATTCTGTCTTCCGTCAGGCTAGCTTGACCCACATCATGGTGATGAGAGCACAGAAAGGAGGGGTGGGTGTACTGGTTAAGCTTTGGCTTGTATCACATTTACTAATGTCCCTTTGGTAAATGTAGGCCACAGGGTAAAAGCTAGGAGCCAAAGTAAGAAGGAATGTTGAGATGAAAATTCATTGGACATCATGATGTTGTAATTTGCCAAGGCTGTTGATGGGCACCTGTTTATTTCCAATCTTTTGATATTGCAAATAATGTGCCAATAGATAAACTCACTCTTAACTCAGTTCGTATGCAAGCAGGACAAATTACCAGAAGTAGATTGCCGAGCCAAACGGCAAATACTTTCTAAATTATCAATTTCTGTGGTGCTGCTTTTCTGTTCACTTTAAGATTGTGTTTTTGTGTCACTTGTTCAGGAGTTTTGAAAATGTGAAAAAAGTTCAGATATGAAATGTATGTAAAATGAATTAATTAGAAACTCATTTTTGAAATAACAAAGGAGATGGAAAGCTAGAATAGAAAATTCAATAACTGAATAGAGTGCCTTGCATATATTATTTGAATAAATATATTTAACAATTCCTTTTATTTCTATTGTGTTTGCAGCATAGAACTATTTCATTTGCTCAAAATATATCACTAGTTCTCAGAATATTTAATGATTTAAAGGTATAATTGGCTCCAGTGTGTGTGTGTGTGTGTGTGTGTGTGTGTGTGTGTGTGTGTATTTAAAGAAATACACAACTTACCTTATAGCCAAGATGTATATCCAGCCCTGTGACAACAAACTTGACCTCTTTCCATGAACCAAGTCTCATTAGTAGGGATTTGTGTCTTATATTTAGCTTAGCTTCATATGACATAAATTTGTTCAGCTTGCTAATTGCCACATTGATGTATCTCAGTCACAGTGATATCTTCTCAGAGGGCTATTTTTTTTTAAAAAAACTTGTAAGTAGTTTATTTCTAATTTCTGAGTACTGGAAAACATCCCTCCAGTTTTCTCTTGTTTTGCACATGACCTTGTTGTCCAAGTTGAGAGCTCTGTCTCCTGATCTTAGTCAGCAGTAAATCTTGACAGAGGAATTCTCTTTAAGCTCATGTGCTCACTTTCGGCCTTCAGGAAGGAGGAGTTGTTTTTAAATAAAACCTTGTCTTGGCCCTCCTGCAGTGGATGTGGAAAGTAGACTGTTTTCTTTATTTTAAATTTACACTCAGACATTTTCTTAGGGCCTTGGTCATAGTAAAATGGGCCCCACATAGGAACTATTCACTTCCCTGAAGCGTGATTGATTAGCAAAGCTGTTCTGCTCAAGGGTAGCCTGTTCTCTTGAGCTGGGATGTTGACAGGTCTGACATGCACAAATTTTAAAACAGGTCACCAGTTCCTAGGCTGCAGGCTGTGGGCCAAGATGCTTGTTCTTGAGGGAGAAGAGAGGAGAAAGGATCCACACAGGGAGCAGGAGAAGCTACTGGGGTCTGTGATCACCCCACATTATAGAATTCCTGAGCCATAGCAGCCCAGGCCAACTTGGTCCCTGTTGCGCGAGCTCCTGCTGGTTTTGGGTGCCAAGAAAACCATGACTGTGGGAGAAGTATGAAGAGAAGTGAATTTAGGGATGTATAGACAGAGGCTGTGCAAATAGGCGTGAGCCCCATTTGACTGAGAATCTCTAAACATCAAAGAGAGGCGTAAACTTAAAGGAAGAAATCTGATACCTAATCAAAGTAGCCTATGATGGAAGTTTGGAAATACAGCCAAGCAGTGACACTGTAAACAGGATGAGGTACAGATCATGTCTTTGCATGTTTGTCTGCTTTGTGGCATCTAGAAGAGTGTCTTTTACAGAGTAGAACCTAGGTAAATATTTGGTCACAAAATGTTAGGCGTGAACGTAACTGTAGAAACTATTCTTTTCAGGCCTCACCTCACTATTTTGGGCATAAGTAAACTGAAGTGCAGACAGTGGATAAAGGGTCTCAGGTTGTTTTCCTGAGGCAGAACCATGTCCTTTAAATCTTGATTAAGTTAGTTGTCTTAAAATTACTTTGCCATTATTCTAATGATTGCTATGTGAGTGAATGTGCTATGGCTTAGAATGTCCCCCAAAGGCCTGTTTGCTGATAGCTTAGTTGCCAGCCTATGGTGCTACTGAGAGATGGCAGAACCTTTCAGAGGCGGCACCCAGTGGAAGGAAGTTAGGTCACTGGAAATGTGACCTGGAAGGGGATATTCAGACCACGGTGCCTTCCTCTTTCTCTCTTTGCTTCCTGGCCACTGTGAGGTGAACAGACCTATTCTTCCGTGGGCACCCGCAGTGATATTCTGCATTGCCCCAAGCCCAAAACAACAGCGCTATACTCTGGTTTCTCTTCAGATCATATAAATCTTTTACCTTTTACCAAAACAACAGGGCTAAACAACCACAGACTTCAACCTCTGAAACTATGAGCCAAAATAAACCTTTCGTCCTTTTAGGTATTTGCCACAGAGTTGGAAAGCTAACACAGAATGAACCAATTAATTTCTTTTTAATGAAATCATTTATGAACCACTCATTCAGAAAAGTCATATATAATCATCTACTTAACTTCACTTATATCTTAAGTATAGGCAGTCACCCCAGGTATATCTACTGGGGGTGTTAGGCAAAGGGAGGTTTATAAAGATGAATTGACTAGTGTCTTTTGAAAGACTTTCAAGAATCTGAGTTTCAAGACATTTTGGCTATCTTACAGAAAGTCTTAAATGTCAGAGTTGGATGAAAACACTGAATTTCTCTTACAGTGATTTCTTATATGCTCAAGGGTATAGGTAGACTGGTATGGAAAATTCTGCCCAAGGCTGAGAGTGGTTTTTAAAATATTTTGTAAACCAGGTATCAGTGTCATTGCGGCAGAGAAATGAAGAAAGAGAGTCCCCACCTCTTGTGACTTCTCTCTGTCACCCAGTTAATGCAGGAGTTCCTTGGCTTGTTCAGCTCACCTTGCTGGATGGAGCTCCTCCTAAATCTTTCCTCTGCAAGGTATAAGGGGTCAGACATTATCACCCCTTTGGGAATATAAAAGTTATTTTTGCCAGCCACTGAGAATGTTTTAGAAGCCCTTTTATCAGTGTCTACGGCCGTGCTTCATATTTGGTTTCCTGTGTCATAAAGAAAAACCTGCAAATAACTAAAAGTAGGGATTCTAATGAAACGTGGGTTCTACTTCATTCTGTTTGGTGTGGGAGGCTGTGTAGCTCTAACTCTAAGAATACCGGTAGTGGTATCTATCTACATTCTAAGAATTTAGGGAGGTGAGGTTTATGTAAAATGAAATCACCCCATCATATCTTTGAGGCTTTCTGTAGAACGAAAGTAAAAACAAACCCAAACAAACAAAACAGGAACATGGCTGAAAACAGTAAGGTGTGTGCTTTTGGAATCACATTGAAGATCAGTATGCTTGAAATCCTTTTTATGGTTGGTGTGTGTATGTGGTTGTTTTGTTTGTTTTGTTTTGCTTGTTGTTAGGGTTTTGGTCCTTACTACCATATTTACCCCTTGTATGGTTGGAAACCTCAAGCTTTTCTTGATAAAAAGGAAAGAAGAGATAAGAGATTCTGCCACCCATATCACAGGTGAACTGGGAAGAGCCTAGCTACAACATGCCCATGGTACATGTGTGTGTGTGTGTGTGTGTGTGTGTGTGTGTGTAGTCTATCTCTGTGTCTGTGCCTGTGCCTCTGT